ACAAGTTTACAAAGTGCTTTATAAAGTGATAGCGCACAAAAAACACAACATAATACTTTGTTATTTGTTACATTTACAATTTTTGAAAATTATAATAATGAAAACGAGCAACTATATTGTGTGGATTTTGTGATTTTTGGCAAAAAGATCAACAAATGAGTCAAGATTGAAAGCCTTTGCCCTCCTAGACTCGATACTTTGCACACCCAGATTGCTTAGTCTCTCATCAGTTATAATGGACCTGAGGTAAGTTTTCACCAGCTTCAGTGTAGAAAAACTCTGTTCTCAAGAAGCAGTACTCACTGGGAGTCTGAAGAGCTAAAAAAAAAAACTTCTTTGTATGGCTCAATGGATAGTACCAGCTGTACTGTACTAGAGGGTCTCTGCATCCTGGTCTGTATTTTCCTTTCTGAGATTCTTGCTTCTCCTTGCTTCTAGTCGGCCAGAGCAGCAGCCAGTGACGGTGCACCGCTCTAAGAGATTCGACTCGAACCATGGTGTCGAACTCAATCACAGAGAGGGCCAAAATTAAAAACTGGGACTATGCCGAGGGCCAAACATAGTCAACATTTATTAAACAGGATAGACAGGATATTGGATAAAGTGCAGAAAGAAAGCATATTTAGGTTGCCTTCATTCTTCTTTTATTTATTTTTTTAGCCAGTTCATTAAGGTTTGGGTTTAGGTTCTGTGCTGTGAAAACTCTCAAGATGGAGTGAAAGTGTGCATCATTGAGACGACTCTTGTGTGGGTTTTTGTTCATCTTCATCACAGAGAAAAGTGTGTGGGTGAACTTGACGGGTCACAGACAGCAGCACACAGGCTCTGGGATCTCTGGAACGCTGGAAAAATAATTTACTAACACCAAATACTGGCAGGTGAGGAGGGGCGCTCGTTCTGTGTGCGTCTAGCCAGGCATTGCACACTGTGGCTCGGCCTATGGAGCTTTTTTTTCACAAAAAAGTCTGCGCCCTATTTAAGATAGATGATATTTTTACCTTGAGTTTGACATTTCTGGACTAGAATGTTGGACTATTCCGCCTTTCGCATCAGTGCTGAATAATCACAATAGAGCGATCATCGGTCCAACAGGGCACTGACCCCTGTTGGACGCCCCCCCCCCCAAAACCGCCACAGGTTCCTGACTGTCTAGTCAAACCAAAAGGGACTTGACCAGACAAAGAAAAGGGCTCCTCTTATTCCACAGGGAGCAGTACAACCTCAGTCAGTCACACACCACTGCTCTTAACACTGAAACATAAAATGTGTGTACATCGGTGAAATAAGCCCAAACCACACGTTATATGAAACGTCATGCAGTGATCTTCGTTTTTTATTTATTTTTCCTTGAATTCATGTCAGTCTAAAATAAGAACTTACATCTAACTTGTCAATGTGCTCTGACAGAGACATGGCTGAAGTTTCTTCTATACTTTGACATCAACATGAACTAATGCCACTGATTGGATGGACATAACAATCACTGGGTAACTCTGGACAAAGACTAAATTAATATATTGTTTTTGTAAATTATTTTATATAGATTTACCATTGTAATCTACCGTATGCTGCACTTTCAACATGCCTCTCCACTGTCTTGTGCTGGTTGGAATTGTTTTTTTCTATAATATTGTAAGGTCATAACCTTAATATGTAAAGTGCCTTGAGATAATTAGGGCCCGCAACAGGA